CCCCCCGCGGCCCCCCCCCCCCCCCCCCCCCAGTCCACACTGGCAGGGTGAGCCCAAGGATCCAGGCTTTACCCCTTTAATGCTTGGCTGTGCCCAACCAGCCTGCCAGAATGACCATGCCCCCGCCCCCCCCAGTGCTCAGACTCACCATTGCTCCCACTTGGGTAAACAGTATCCCATCTTAACCCTTCAATGCCTGGTTATGCCCCCCATCCCTGACACCCATCTATGGGTACCACCCCAAAAACTCCCAGCTGTAAGACCTCCCCCCTCTTTGCCCCATAGCTTGCCCAGATGCCTGGATACCATGCCTGTCCTGCCTTATTTAATGCCCAGTGATGTGTTGGCCCCCGCCCCCCCACCTGGCTCCAGCCCCAATCGGATTAACACATCTAACAACTTCTTTATGCCCCTTCATCTCCGTCCTGGCATGTGGCTACCTCTCCCCCCCAGACTTCCATCTCTGCTCCCCCACCCCGATGCCCACTTATGGATCCCCCCAGCCTTCACTTGATATCCAGGTCTCACCTCCCTGACCCTGATGCCTAGATATGTCCCCCTGGTCCCCAGCACCTGGCTACAGCCTCCTCTCTCTCCTCTCAGTGCCTAGCTGTGTCCCCTCATCACTTTCCCAGCTCCAGTCATTTCCCCCCCCCCCCGATGCCAAGGTATGGGACCCCCTAGCCTACTCCCAGTGCCCAGGCCTTCACCTCCCTGTCCCTGACACCTGGATGTGTTATCCCCAATGGTCCCCAACACTCAGCTACAGCCCCATGCCCCCTCCAGTGCTTAGGTGTGACCCCTCTTCTCTACTACAGCTCCCAGCTACAGTTCCTCCTCTCCACGATGCCCAGCTATGGGACCCTCCCTCCAATTTATCCGTGATACCCAGCACCCCCCCCCAAATGTCTGGCCCCAAGTGCCCCACCCTGCTGTCCCTGTTCTCATCCATGACAGCCAGGCACTGTTGATAGCAGCTGGGTACCTCCATCAGTGGAAGCAGCTGGTCTGTCTCCCCAGCACAGCTCCATCGAAGCAGGATGAGGCCTGCTCGCTACTTGAATGGGAAGCCTCCAGATATGGTGGGAGGGGGAGAGAGCAGCTCTGTCCCCTTCACTGTTCCACCTGTTCCGTGTCTGTCAATTGGATCATAGCTGCCTTTTCTTACCTCTCCTGAGCCACCCCAGCCCCCAGCAGTCCCACCCCCTTCCTGGCACCCTCCCACCAGTGCCCTAACAACCCCCCTCCCCCCACAGGAACAGCCCGGTTCAGTTGCCCCACATATTCCTGCCCTGCTCCATCTCTCCTCCAGCCCCCCTGCCCCCTTCCCTATTTCAGCTCTGATAGCTTTTTCCTCTTGTCACAGGTATTTTAATGGTGGCCCACCAGCCGAGACAGACTTTGGGGGAGATGTGAGTAGGCAGCACAACATTGCCTGGAGAAGGGGGAATTTTATGGCCCAACAGTGTCATTCTGGGGGCAACTGTCGGGCAATCCCATGCGTGTGTCCTGCCCCACCTCCCAGCCCACCTCTGGCAGACTGTCATGAAGGGTGGGATGAGCACCCTGGATCCCTCCATGTCCTGGGTGTGGGCATGGTATCACTTGTGGGTGCAGGAGTGGCCCTCCTGGTGTCCTAGCACCCCCTGCCAAGGGAGGACATTTGGGGGGTACCTGGCATCTCCAGGCAGTGGGGTTGGAAAGCTGGTCAGGGATGTACCACAAGCTGGCTTTCACAAGGGAGGTCAGGGTAGGATGTTCAATATGCTGGTCATTTCTTAGGCAGGGACGTACCACTTATGGGCAGTTCCCAGGGGGATGGGGTGGAGTGTACCACTAGGGGGGGCAGGGGTGGTTTATACCACATGTGTGTCATTCCTGGTGAAGGTGCCCTTTGAAATCTTCATGTTCTCCTGTTCACAGCAGGTTGTGAGCATGCAGGATGCCCCTACTCACCTTGGGGGTTCCTTGGATAGTACTGTGGGGGGCACGTTATACCCTGCTCCCCTGAGGGTAAGGATATGGGTGGGACAGGATGAACTGTGGGGTGCTCCTCAAACTCTACCCCACCCCCATCTTTCCATAGAGGTGGAAGGGGTTTGGGGGGCCATGGAGATGCCCCTTCATGGGACACTGGTCTCCAGTGGGTTGGTGGGCCAGGATGTGGTGCAGTAGCCCAGTCATACCTCACATGCTGGCAACTGATTCCTCGTGTCCCTGAATGCCTGGGTCCTCTACAGAGCTTGAGGCGTAGTTGGAACCTTGGGCTAATGTGGGACAACCAGGGTGGGGCCCAAGCAGGGAGGAGGTGAGGAAGGCAGGGCCCATCTCCTGTTACTGGTGTCCCTGGCTGTCTAGGGGCAAGGCAAGCCCCAGGCCCTCTCCTACCCCAAGAGCACCTGTGCAGAGGGCCAGGCTTGGCAGCAGCAGGAAGAACATGGGTCAGCCAGGGACAGTGGCAGTGGTGGGTCTCTTCCCCACTGTCCCCTCCCATCCTTAACCAGGTGGCAAACCATGCTGGGAGGGGAGAATGGAAGGGGAGTGCCAAGAGTTAGGTTGGGGATAGAATTTAACCTGCTTCAGGGGCTCAAAAATGTTCCTGGCATCTGCTGCATCACAATATACTGCCTAGCAAGTGTGGGGGGAAGTTTTATCCCACCCCTTTCTTCCCCCCAACACTATCAGTTACATTCCCT